CCCCCAATATAGGACCATGGAATCACGCTTCACCCGTGGCAAATCCCCTCTGCTGGAGCGCCCGCTGGGCCGCCCGCGGGGGGAGGTGAGCCTGAGTGCCTTCGCCCTCCTCTTCTGTGAGCTGGTGCAGTACTGCCAGCGCCGCGTCTACTCGGTGGCCGAGCTGCAGTCCAAACTGGCCCAACTGGGCCACCAAGTTGGCCTCCGACTCCTGGACCCGTTGGTGAGCCGTGAGCGGGGCGGGCGGCGTGAGACCAAAGTGCTGAGCATCCTCCTCTTCGTCAAAGGCCCCGTGTGGAGGGCGTTGTTTGGGAAGGAGGCCGACAAGCTGGAGCAGGCCAACGACGACGACAAGACTTTCTACGTCATCGAAAGGGAGCCTCTGGTCAACACCTTCATCTCCGTGCCCAGGGAGAACAGCACGCTCAACTGTGCTGCCTTCACAGCTGGTTTGGTGGAGGCAGTGCTGGGAGCCAGCGGGTTCCCGGCCAAGGTGACGGCGCATTGGCACAAGGGCACCACGCTGATGATCAAGTTTGAGGAGGGGGTCATCGCACGGGACAAGAGCCTGGAGGGACGATGAGGGGGGTCCCGGTGCTTGGAGGTGTCCCCCGTCCTCACGTTGGGACACTCGCGTTGTTACGTGGCTCTGTAAATGGTCTCTTGGCCCATTGGGTGACCTTCAGCATTGGGTGTCCATCAGTGGTGTCCGTTGTCCCTCCTGGTGGCCCTTGGAACTACTTGGGGACATTGGGACCCATTGATGTCACTCAGCACCATCCATTGTTCTCCTTTGGCTTCGTGTTGAGACACTTGATTTGGTTCAGGTGCAATAAATGGTCTCTTGGCCCATTGGGTGACCTTCAGCATTGGGTGTCCATCAGTGGTGTCCGTTGTCCCACCCGGTGGCCCTCAGCCCCTCCTGGGGACATTGGGACCCATTGATGTCACTCAACACCATCCATTGTTCTCCTTTGGCTTCATGTTGGGACACTTGAGTTGGTTCAGGTGCAGTAAACGTTCTCTTGGCCCATTGGGTGACCTTCAGCATTGGGTGTCCATCAGTGGTGTCTGTCGTCACTCCCGGTGGCCCTCAACCCCTCCTGGGGACATTGGGACCCATTGATGACACTTAACACCATCTACCATCCAATTTGGTTTCATGTTGGGACACTTGATTTGGTTCAGGTGCAATAAATGGTCTCTTGGCCCATTGGGTGACCTTCAGCATTGGGTGTCCATCAGTGGTGTCCATTGTCCCTCCTGGTGGCCCTTGGAACTTCTTGGGGACATTGGGACCCATTGATGTCACTCAACACCACCCATTGTTCTCCTTTGGCTTCATGTTGGGACACTTGAGTTGGTTTAGGTGCAGTAAACGTTCTCTTGGCCCATTGGGTGACCTTCAGCATTGGGTGTCCATCAGTGGTGTCTGTCGTCACTCCCGGTGGCCCTCAACCCCTCCTGGGGACATTGGCACCCATTGATGACACTTAACACCATCTACCATCCAATTTGGTTTCATGTTGGGACACTTGATTTGGTTCAGGTGCAGAAAATGTTCTCTTGGCCCATTGGGTGACCTTCAGCATTGGGTGTCCATCAGTGGTGTCCATTGTCCCTCCTGGTGGCACTTGGAACTTCTTGGGGACATTGGGACCCATTGATGTCACTCAACACCACCCATTGTTCTCCTTTGGCTTCATGTTGGGACACTTGAATTGGTTTGGGGTTCAGTAAACATTCTCTTGGCCCATTGGGTGACCTTCAGCACTGGGTGTCCATCAGTGGTGTCTGTCGTCCCTCCTGGTGGCCCTTGGATCTTCTTGGGAACATCGGAACCCATTTGTGTCCCCCAACGCTCTGCATTGTTCTCCTTTGGCTTCATGTTGGAACACCTGCATTGGTTTGTGTCTCAATAAAAGTTCTCCTGTCCCATTGGGTGACCTTCAACGTCGGGTGTCAGTCAGTGGATCCATTCTCCCTCCTGGTGGCCCTCAGAGCTCTGTGGGGGCATCGTGTCAACACTTTGACCCGGTTCTGTGACTGGTGGGGCTGGGGGGACCCATGGACCCACAGCCCAGAGAAGGGAAACATCTCATGATCTGTGAACAGTTTTATCATTTCCCTCTAAAGGGAGAAGCAGAAACAGAACGCTGTGCTCTACGTGGTGTTATGAAGTGAAAAACCAAGAGCCAAAAATCATCAAACCGTGACAGCATGACATCCCCACAGCGTCCCTGAAAGCTTCCACGTGTGACACCCCCCTAAAAACATCCATCACCCCCCCCACATGTGACACCCCCCCCTTATAACAAACAGCCAACACTGCATTAATTAAGAAAAAAAAAAAATAGTAGGCTTCTTGTTCTGTGTGGTTGACCAACAGTTGACCAACGGTTGACCAGCGATGGACCAATAATTGACCAAGTTGACAAATAGTTGACCAATGGTTGACCAATTGTTGACTGGTAGTTCACCAATGATTGACCAATGGTTGACCAACAGTTGACCAATCATTGACCAACAGTTGGCCAGAAGTGGACTAATGGTTGACCAGTGGTTGACTGGTAGTTGACCAATGATTGACCAATGGTTGACCAATGGTTGAGCGACAATTGACCAATGGTTGACCAACAGTTGGCCAGAAGTGGACCAATGGTTGACCAATGGTTGACCAATGGTTAACCAGCGGTTGACTGGAAGTTGACCAATGGTTGACCAATGGTTGACCAACAGTTGACCAGCAGTTGACTGGTAGTTGACCAACAATTGACCAGTGGTTGACCAATGGTTGACCAACGATTGACCAGTAGTTGATCAATGGTTCACCACACCTGATGTTTCACGCCCTCCTCCACTCCCCCTCCTGGTTTTTGTGTCTCATTTCCCCCCAGGACAGCAGAGCCGTCCCAGGCCCGGTGCTGCCCCTTCATTTTGCACTGAAATCGTCGCTACTCGGGAAAAAGGGTGGGTGTTTTTACTGGGGTTTTCTGCTTTTCATTCTTTTCTTTTATTTTATGCTCAGCATTTTCAGAAGCAAAGCACAACCCCCAAAGAAACACCGAGAGCACAGAAACGTGGATGAAGGTCACTCCTTTCACAGCCATCATCGACATCCCTGAGCAAAGGAAAGCCAAGGAGCACCACTGGATGGTCAGCACTCTGCCCAATTAACCAACAATTACAGCTCCCCAAAAGACTCCATTCCCTCCCAATTAGGAAAGCGCAGCATCACGTGCTGCAGCAAACACCAAAGTCAGCAATTCAATTCAGGAATCATCTAAAATAAGCCGGAATAAAAACATTAATACAGCCCCCAGCACCGCTATGAAGGGGTTTCCATTCCCCTGTGACTGAGATCCAGCTCTGCAGGGTCCACCCTGGGGATGAGAAGCAAAAGTTTAGGATCCTTTATGCCACTGCTGCCCACTCACTGCACATCTGTGCTGCTCCATACCCCCAGCGGAGGTTTCTTCTCCTCCTCTTCCTCTCCCAATCTCTTTCTCAGCTGAAGCTCTTCTTCATATCTGCAAATCTGGTCCTCCATCTGTTGCAGTCTTTCCACCTCCCTTTCCCTCTCAGCCTCCCATTCCTGCTTGGCCTTCATGTATTCATGAATCTGACCCTCCAACCAATGCAGTTTTCTTGCATCCCTCTCCCTCTCAGCCTCCCACTTCTTCTTGGCCATCTCATATCCACGAATCCGATGCTCCATCCAGTGCATTTTTTTGCCTCCCTTTTCCTCTCAGCCTCCCTCTCCTGCTCAGCCTTCTCGTTCTGGGCTCTCAGATCTGATGAGAGAAGCAGAATTTACAGCACAGAAGCAGCCGCCCCCCCCACACACACACACCCAGCCCCCCCAGTCCCAATGGAGGTGCTAGCACTTCTCCAGGACATCAGTTACGTTTGATCCGCTCATCCTTCTCCATCAGGGCACGGTCTGTGCTGCAGATGCTCCTGGCCAAAGGCTCCACGTTCCGAAGGAACTCCTGCAGCACAGCATCTGCCTGTGGGGCAACGGGAGTGTGGCAGTCAGGGGGGGAGGTGGTGATGCTGGGCAGGGGCTGCTCCTCTTCCCACCTTCACCCCTTTGCCCGGCAGCGCCCGGTACCGCTCCACCAGCGCCTGCTGGTCCCCAAGGAACAGCCGGTGACCCCCCGGCACGAAGTAGACACCGTCACCGATGCGTTGCTCCATCTCACTGCGGAGCTCCTGCAGCGCAGCCGTGCACTTCTCACGGGACGCCTCTTCATTGCGGCTGCAGAACTGCAGTCTGGCTGCCTCCACCTGCAGCTGCGTGGGGGGACGCGAGGGGCAGGAATCAGCCGGGGAAACGGGGGCAGGAAGGAGCGGCACAACGCGGCGCCGATGGGGGATGCAGAGCCGAGCACGGTGCCGCGGAGCAGCGCTGGCCAAACCGCGCAGCGCCCACCAGAAGCTCCGCACGGAAGCGCTCGACGTCGGCCGTGATCGCCCGTTCTGCAAAGAGCTGCAGCGTCTCCCTCTGGCACTGCTCGTGCAGCTCCAGCAGCTCCTCAGCCGTCTCCGTGGGCAGCTCTGCCCGCTGCTCCATCAGCTCCTGGTACAGAACCGCAGCTTCCCGCACCGCCGCCGAGTTGTGCAGCTCTGCCAGGGCCGTCACCGCGCTCTCCAGGCACGGCACGGCCCCGCTCTGGATGGCATCCACGTAGGTCACAGCCAGAGTGCCCAGCACTGCCATGGGGGGGGACTTGGGGGGGGTTAGAGATCACCCCACTTCAGCCTTGGGTGCTTCTGTACCCGCGCACACCCCCCATCATCCCCACACCTCAGCCCTGGGTGCTGCTGTAACCCAACACCCCTCCAAACATCCCCCCCATTTCAGCCCTTAGTGCTGCTGTACCCCAACAGCCCCCCCATCATCCCCCCATTTTTAGCCCTGGGTTCTGCTGTACCCCAACATCCCCCCCATCATCCCCCCTCCCCATTTTAGCAATTAATTTTTCTGCTGTACCCCAACACACTTTCCAACACCCCCCCCCATTTTAGCCCTGGGTTCTGCTGTACCCAACACCTCCCCCACCATCCCCCCATTTTAGCCCTTAGTGCTGCTTCAGCCCCAACACCCCTCTCATCATCCCCCCCCTTTAGGGGGCTTCTGCTGTACCCCACCATCCCTGAGCAGCACCCCCGAGTCCTTCTCCTCCTCCTTCCCACCCACCCCAACACAAAACCAGAGGCAGAAAAGCTCCTCCACGCCCCCCTCCCCCCCAACCCCCCGCCCCCAGAGCATCACTCACTCTTTCCCGTTACTTTGCAGCCTCCAGGGATGCTTTTGGCCCGAGAGCTCTCCCAGATGTAACAGCAGAATTTCTCCAGCTGCCTCAGGAATTCGGGCTCCATCCGGTGCTCCGGGAGCTCCTCCAAGTGTTGCAGATCCCTCACGCTGGCGGGCAGGTTGAAAACGAAGCACCTTCGTTGAGGGAAGAACTGTCGGATGCATTCCCGAAGAAGGTCGTAGCGTTCGGCCTCCGGGCTGCTGCCTGCGGGACAGAACAACCACAGCTCAGCTCTCTGCTGCCTTCCAGCGCCTGGAGCCGGCCGGGACAGCTCAGCATCCCTACAGCCCCACACCAGGACAGCTCAGTATCCCTACAGCCCCACACCAGGACAGCTCAGCATCCCTACAGCCCCACACCAGAACAGCTCAGCATCCCTACAGCCCCTCATCAGAACAGCTCAGCATCCCTACAGCCCCACACCAGGACAGCTCAGCATCCCTACAGCCCCACACCAGGACAGCTC